CTGCCTAAACAGGTGGTTTTCAGGGTCTTCAGACCTTTCACCACTTCAGGACACCCTTCACCACTTCAGGATGCAGTCTGCCTCAACAAATGGTTTTCAGGGTCCTCGGATCTTTCACCACTTCAGGACCATTAAGGATTTTCAGACTGCCCAAAACTCTCACTTCACCACTTCAGAATGCAACCTGCCTAAACAGGTGGTTTTCAGGATCTTCGGACCTTTCACCACTTCATGACCATTCGGGATTTTCAGATTGTCCAAAACTCTCGCTTCAAAATTTTCATTCCTGAATTTTCAACTACCCGTTAACCGCTTGTGCTTTAATGACTATAAGTCCTTCCTCCTACACGCGCTTCTTCACTCTTTTAATAGTTCTCATTATTTATTTATTATATTTTTTTTTTCTTTTTCTCGTAGGCCGTGGAAAACATTCAAAATAGCGTCAACTCCACAAAAAAAAGGAGAAAAAAAAAACAAAAAAAAAACGACTCACATGTGACTCGTAGTTGCTCGAAATAACGTTGCTTGCACCGTGCCGACAGGGAGAACGAAATCCTTTTTATCTCCTTCTACACAATCTGACACCATTTATAAATATATATATATATATATATATGTATTCCTTTTAACGATAGTCGTCTTCTGCTCAATGCAACCTCAACCTATCAAAACAGAGACCGAAGTTCAAAATGAAAAACTTTGACTTTTTATCGGTTTGTGTGTCATCCTTGCGCAAGGGCCATGCAATTCCGTGCAGCCGACTTCGGCCGCATGATCTAGGTGATCATGCGGTCCAAATTGACTGTGCGCTTTGTTTACCACCTAGGTTAATCCAAAAATAAGCTAGTCCAAATAGTGCGTTGTCACATTCGATTCCGGTATCCACTGGGTAAGAATCTGACATGTCAACCTACTTAGTTAGCTCCTATTTCGCATCATATAGGACCGACCCTTCAATATGAAGAGTTGTGCCCAACGGAGACATCCAGCACAAAGCCCAACAGACCTTTGCTTGCTCCTACCACTCTAACAACCTGTCGGCGACCCCCGATGCAAGCACGCACCTATATCCATATGGTAAGACGTGTACCCTTCATATCACCGACACTGGTTTGAGTTCTGACGAGGTAACTCTTAAATTAAACAAGCCTAAATCTCTACGTCTTTTCAACGCAATGCAACCACTTCCTTTTTCTTTAAAAACTCTGAAGCACGACTATCTGTCTCTTTGGCCTTGCTTAACGTAGAGAGTGACTGGTCACACCGTCCACTCCTGCCGTCAAACTCGCCAGTAGTCAGACACTTTGTTTTAAGACATAAATTTTGACTTCTTAATCAACGACCGAGTCAGAATAAGCTTTGGCAGCACTTTTATTTCATTGAGTCAAATTTTCATTAAAAAAATTCATACTAAAAATCGGGCAACGCCTCACATTGAAATTACAGGGCAGATACTCTTGTCAGAGTTTCTATCTCGTCATCATAGGGGCTCGTCGCACTGCTTGTCAAAAATGACAACGAGTCTTTCTCATGAACATGAAACCATACACTTATTTTTATTTTTTTTCCTACCATGCACTTTTTGATATTGTCTTTTTTTTTTTTTTTTTTTTTTTTTTTTTTTTTTTTTTTTTTTTTTTTTTTTTTTTTTTT